CTGACATTCCTTGTAGGATGGTTGGACACAACCATTTTTTCTTAGAAACGTTGCTGAAATCAAGTGTAAATGATTTTTGCAGATTATTTTTTGTATGTATTGTGTAAGTAGAAGGAGAGAGAATGAAAATACCTTTTATGGATAAACCAGAAGACATTGATACACTTTTTGGTTGGTGTGTGTACACGCTTATGAATGAAATTCACGTAAACAAGAATAAGAAACCAAACGTAAAACTTCTTTCTCAGATTATATAGGGTTTGTTTTTTTCAGTTTATATGAATAAGAAATCAAATAGAAACTGCACATATATATAACTTTGGGAGTTTCATTAATTTTTTAAGGAATACGTGGGTTAATAATGAATGCTTGACACACAGAGCAAGTACAAAAATAAATAAAAATACAAATTAATAACATTTATTTTAATGTTTACAGTTGAGGCACATGTTCTAGACAACCACAGCATGCAATTTTCCCTTCTGCATTGCTGGAGGAATCTTCTCATCCTCGGTTGTGGCTTCCCAGTTGAGCCAAGGAATCGGCTTTTGTCAAAGGTTCCAGAGCAGCTCCAGCTTTTCCCCCAGTGGTCGTCTAGATTTGTGGCACTGGTAGCTTTGTGTTCTGACAAAGCCAAAATGGATTGAATCAATTCAAGAGTTAGGTGATAGCTTTGGTATGTTTTTTACTTTGCTCTTCATATGCACATTCATAAGCCTGGACATATTTTCATAATGAAAAACATGTACTGTGTCCTGTTGATTTTTTTTATCAAGAGTAAATGATAAGGTGCTTATAAATACTCGTGTAAAATAAGAGTGAATTAAAGAAGTTTTATAAAATATTGAGTTCATATGTCCTATTTTGATTTCACTTATCCCTTTATTAAAAGTATCACACACATCACAGCTCCCTTGTGCAAGGTCATTCATCACTGTCTCACAGTGATCAAAAATTGGTGGAAATTAGCCCAAGGTCCACAACACTGAAATCTTTTCGTACACTGATACAAAAGTCTCCAGGGAGCCAAAAATGAAAAGTACCATAGTGTGTTATTAAATGGAAAGCTCTTAAGTAGAACTTTGCTGTGAAACAGCTACTTTTCTGCATGTCTGTTTAAGGACTGTTGGGGCTGCTAGTGACATTGGAGCTGGGCATGTGGGGGACAGCCCTAGCACAGGGAGATGTTGGCTTGGTATAAGAGACCCTGAAAACCCTGTGATGATGCAATACCCCAGGTGGGGCTGTCCTGCTCCTACCAGAGCCAATTCACGGGATGTCACCTTGCACCAATCTTGGGGTCACCAGCAACCTCATGGGAGATGGCCATGAGGATCAGGGCCTACTTCCCTGACATCACCACCAGTGCAGCTCCTTTCTATATCTTTAGGGTGGGAAGTGCTGCTCTGCACCCAGATAGGGCAGGCTGAGGGAAGGAAGCACACCCTAGTCCTGCATTGAAGAGGCAAAGACAAAGAACACAATAATTAGTTAAAATTAAATACAGTAGTGACCAAGATGGGTAGCCCATTGGTTTCAGAAAGCTCCCAGACCCCATTTTGGGCCTCCCCTCCAGAAACCTTCCAGTTACATTGCAGCACTTGGTGATTTTAGTTTTAAAGTCTCCAAGCTCCTGTGAAAAAGGAAAAATGCTGACATCTCTCAAGTGACAGGAGTCAAAGATTCATCCCAGTAAGAGCGGTTCAGGGTGTGACACAGTGAATTGGTGACTTGGGGGCACACAATTGGTCACCGTTGGCCACATCTGGACAGTGAGGAGAACCCTAGTCCTTTTCCAGTGGCAAATTGGGGAAGTCCAGTAGCAGGAGGAAGAAGAGTTGTTTCACCAAGTCGTATCCAAGCATGAAAAATGGGGTGTCATCAGCTTCCTTAAACCCAGTCTGTGGCTCTTTATGGATGCCTCTGAGATAATCAGCACAATCGGCTCTTTGATGGGCAGAGATGACTAAGTCTCTTGTCTTTGCTTTCTCTATCAAAATATTACGCTGCTAATGAAACAGCCCAATTTGGATTAGCACAGCTTCTGATTCAGGATCAGGATGCACAGTTTTCCAGCTTGCTGAGATATATGTATTCTTTCTGCATGCATATGACTCACAGTTGGAATGGAAAGATTAGCTGCAAAAAATCTCTCCTTAAAAATATAAAATTATAGCTATTACGCACATAATAATTTTTTAAAAAAAATTAAAGTGAAAATAATATAACAAAGGAATGAAAGCTGTTTAAATAGAATATAATATCATCTGATCAGCTAATACAGTCTTGCACGATGTGGGATTCACTAAGCTAATTTAAACTATCAGTCTTGTGTGGCATCTCACCAGAGATTTTTCTTTTTGTTGCCCATCTGGAATTTCAAATAAACTAGGGTTGTTAATGATCTGATGTGCCATAATATTTGGTTAATGGACTGTGTGTAGCTTAGTAGATGTGTTAAAAATCTCTAAAAATAGCACTCAGTAACTATGGCACTAAATAGCTCATGTGGAATCTACTGCAGTTCAAAAAAAAAAAAAAAAGACTCCTGGTTAAGATTGTGTAAGCATCAAGTGACCCAGCCTTTGAATTGTTATAGAAGTCAACTAAAAACATCATGGGTTGGATCCATAAATGGTCTATCAATAATTTTTCTTTACTTAAGACTAAATGGCACATCCATTTACCATTTAAGTTGCTCCTTTTGGGTACTCATGTTGGCTTGATTCTAAGGCAGTTTAAGGCAGTCCTGTCTGGACTTGGGCAACAAAGGGTCAAAGGCATTCACTCCGGGCTTCAGGCTACCACTTCCTCCCTTCTGTTGTGCCCCTCCCATTTTTCTCTCCCAGGAAAATAGCCAGTTGTTTTCCTTCTGGTGTGTGGGATATATAGGCTTTTATATGTGAAACACATACATAGAGTTAAATTGAATTTATATATACAAAGTTAAAGCATCAAAATGCACATACATGCAGTCACGACAACTAGCTTAAAAATTCCTTCCATACTACTCTGCTTAAGACAATACAAACTAAACTCAAAAAGGAAAAAAAAGTAAAGAGAGAACAGAAAGTGCAAGAAAAAAGAAAAGAAAAAAACAGAATAAGAAAAAGAAGAAAAAAAAATTTAAAGAAGCAACTTCCGATCTTCATCACAAGTACAAACATAGAATTCTTCACCCCCTATAAGGTTACATGCAAGTATCTCTTCTACCCATAACCCATCTGTTATCCACACACAAATCCATAAATCATTAACATTTCAGCCTGGTGTCAGCAAAAGTCCATAAAGGGTTCCCAGAATTTTATAGAAACATGTCTTATTTTAACCTTGGTCAAACAAGCCAGCTTTGTACTCCTTCCTTTTGCTTCTAGGAATCTTAATCTTTAATTCATTCAGAAGTTGTAGGTTTTGATCTCTCTTCAGATTTTCTTTTTCCCATCTCAAAGGCTTTTCAAAGCTTTAACAAATCCCTTTTGTAGATCCAGTAAGGAGTCATTATCCAGGTCATTCTCTTGGCTTATCATTTGTATTTCCACTTTAACTGTCTTCTCTTGGCTTATCATTTGTATTTCCACTTTAACTGTCTTCTCTTGGCTTATCATTTGTATTTCCACTTTAACTGTCTTCTCTTGGCTTATCATTTGTATTTCCACTTTAACTGTCATCTCTGTTTTGTAATCCACAATTGTTTTCATTTTCCAGTATTTCAACAATTTCTTTATATTCTAATTTTTCTGCATAAGACTTGTTTCAGCTCTTTATCCGTAGATCTTCCAAGGTATTCTCTCACATCTGTCATTTCTTTTTAAATATCTTTTGGGCGTAATCTACCCATAGAAGCAGAGAACATTGGTGACATTGTAGTTGCTAGTTTCTGTCCCCATTCTTCATTATCTCCTGAAGTATTTCAACTGTCATGCCATTTTGTGTCATTTTGTCCCAATGCTGACCAAAGACAAAAAGCAAGCCCATCTCTCTTTTTTTCTTTTTTTCTCCCTTTATGCCTGGGATCTTTAATCCCCTCTAGTAATCAATTTCTGAAATCACAAAGCCTTGAATTTTTGTATGACTTAAGGTTGACTATACAATTTAGTTCCCATGAAGGAGATGTTTATTTATATAATTACTTCCAAAACCTTATAGCAAAAATCCTAATATTCCAAATTCATCTGGTCCCTTAATATGTTTATAACTTTCTTGAATTAAAATCTTATTTAGCTTTTACTGTTTGCTTCAAATTCTTAATCTTATAGTTAATTTTTCTTTTGTTCTAGAACGAAGATAAAAACAACTGTTGGCTTTTCAAACTTGTGATTTTGAAGATTTCTATTATACTTAAGATAGTTAAATAAGTAATTTCTGAAAGTGATTAGAAAGTGAGGTTAGCAAACCCGGTGTTCTTTAAAAGGCTCCGCCACAGTTGGGAGAGTGATGGCTTCCCTTCAGCTTCCTTTCATCTCCCAGCACTATCCTGTAGTCTCCTCGTGAGGAGCAGCCATCTGGAGCACAAGTGCGTGATTTCCCATCCTTTCCTTATCTGAAGAGGTTCCATGTGGCCAGTCTACTCACCAGTCCTTTGGTTGCAGCTGTGTCATTGTCTCCACTCATTTGGAGACGTGTTCGCTCGCCATTCCTCCCCTGGAAGTCCCTTTCTCCTGAGCTTCCAATTATTCCTTGTGCTTTTTTTAAAAAGAGAACGGAGGACTATTTCACTGTTTTTCCACTCACCTGAGCTAGAAGAGTTTCACCTCTGGCTCCCCCAAAGCTCACAAGTTATTGAAATTGACATTCTTATAATTTAGCATAGAACCTAATATTAATGATTCCTGGACGTGTTTTCTTCCAATTACGCTGATTGTTTTCTAGGTACAAAAAGCTTATTGAAGATTTTTTCCTCCAAGCAACCTAACTGACTGCTGAAAGTGTTTGTAGCAA